CTGCCTCTCTGCCTCTCTGCCTCTCTGCCTCTCTGCCTCTCTGCCTCCAAAATGCTGTGATTACAGACATGTACTACTGCATCTTGTGTCATTTTAAACTGCTCAATTTCTGAGCAACAGAAAACTATTAACTATTAAAGCATTGTTGAACATGAGGGTTTGAATTGTGTGCCTCCACAATCACATGTTGAGAATTAACCTTCATACTTTAGAATGTGACCGTTTGAGGCAGGGCCCTAAAGGTGTGATTAAATTGAGATGAAGCTCCAATTCTATCATACTGGGGTTCTTTTAGAAGAGATTTAGAACCAAAAAGAAACACCAGGGGATGTACTGAGGAAACAACATGTGTGGACATAGTAAAAGATACTGCCCTGTTAGCAAAGGAAAAGGCCTAAGAAACCATACTGGCTGATGCCTTGATCTGGGACTTTTTGCGGGAATATTTTTTTTTTGAAACTGAACAGACTTGGATGATCTGTCCAAGGTCAAAAACCAGCTATTTTATTGAACATTGGAAAATAAAGGAAATTAATTATTTGTCTTAGCATTCCTTTGTTACTTGAACAAATCTTACTAGCTGGATTTAAATAGGTTCAGAGTTATGGCCTGGAAGTAAGGACTGAAAATCTTCAGTCCCCAGAGACCAGCTCTATAATAGACTTTTTGTGATATACAGGTAGAGCTGAGGGGCAGGGAGAGGCCATGGAAGTATGTAGAGTGAGTCAGGTGGGGGCTGATATGTAGTTCTGTAGTAGAGGTTTGTCCAGTGTGTACCATGCCCAGCTTGACAATGTTGGGGGGGAGAGGTTCCTGAATGCTTGATCTTACACTGATACAAAAGCCACAGGCTCTCAGCTGAAATCAGATTCTCATGTCTACATATGTTCCCAGAATTGGAGTTAATGGGTAGCACAAACATCACTTCTGCTGTTGAGCAGAAACGTTGATCACAGGGGAAAAACTGACTACAGCCAACGGTGCTGCTGTGTACCAGTGCCTGGCAGGTTGGGTACATCCAATGCTTAGAATGATGATACTTTATACCTCTGGTAACCTCATGGAAGGTCAAGAAGCACACAGGTGGAAATACACCTGGTATCTGATGGCCCACAACATGCAGGCTATGAGAGAATAAAAAGCCCTCCCTTTGGCTTTTACTTAGAGGTTGCTTCAGCTATGGTCACTGCTATTTTTAGAATAGGACAGATAGACATACAGACTTTCCCAGGCAGCCTCCTTTTCATCCTGCCAGGCCAGGTCTCTGTGGCCTCCTTTGTGAAACAATCTCTAGTCTTTTCCATAGAGTTAACCTTTCATTTTGTTTTCTGAGATGGATCCTCACACTGTCCTCCAGATAAGCTTTGAAATCATAGCAGTTGTCTACCTTCAGCTGCAAGAGGATCTAACTTTGCATGTGAACTTTACAGATCTTATGCCACGGTACCATGGTTACTTGCTTTTATGTAAGTAACCACCCTAGGCAGGAGACCTGGTCCAGCCTTTTTATAGGCCTAGCTTGAGAGGCAGTCAAAGACTTAGACATAAGGAGGGTCCAGTGAAAAAATAGTCATAGCCAGAGAAGTCTAGTTGGCTGGCAAGAGGGGAGGCTTTTGGGGGGGAAAGTTCAGAGTGCATAAAAAGACAGTATCTTGGAGAGGAGTCTGTATGAATTTCTAAGGTGAACACAGCCAGTGTTGGCTTCACATGCTTTTTATTATCTTTCTTAGGTTTCTTGGGTCTTAGTATCTTTCTACTTGAGTTACTCTACTTACACATTAGCACTTGTATGACTGGTAATACTAGGAATATATGGAGACAAAATGTGGGACAGGGACTGAAGGAAAGACCATCTAGAGACTGCCGCACCTGGGGATCCATCCCATATACAGTCGCCAAACCCAGACACTATTGCAGATGCCAAGAGGTGCATGCTGACAGGAGCGTGATATAGCTGTCTCCTGAGAGGCTTTGCCAGAGCCTGGCAAATACAGAAGCAGATGCTTACAGGCAATCATTAGACCAAGCATGGGGTCACTAACGGAGGTGTTAGAGAAAGGACTGAAGGAGCTGAAGGAGTCTGAACCTATAGGAAGAGCCACAATATCAACCAATCAGACCCCCCCAGAGCTCCCAGGAACTAAACCACCAACCAAAGAGTACACATGGAAGGACCCGTGGCTCCTGCCACATATGTAGCAGAGGATGACCTTGTCGGACATCAATGGGAGGAGAGGCCCTTAGTCCTGGGAAGGCTCGATGCCCCAGTGTAGGCAAATGCCAGGGCAGGGAGACTGGAGTGGGTGGGTGGGTGAGTGAGTACCCTCAAAGAAGCAGGGGGAGGGAGGATGGGATAGGGGGTTTGCAGAGAGGAAACCAGGAAAGGAGATGACATTAGAAATGTAAATAAATAAACTATCCAATAAAATAAAGTAGAAAAAAAGAACATACACCAACAAGTTAGGCCAAATATTTCAGATAAGCTGTGTTCTTACCTTCAAGCTTTAGTTGTCAGTAATCCAAAAGTTGGACTGCCCAGTTTTCAGTGAGTACAAAAGTACATTTAGAGAAAGGAGGAAAGTATTTCTGGTGTATGGCAAGCACAGAGGCTCAAATTCTACTGTGCCAAAAGTACCCAACCTTTAGCAATCAATCTCGAAGGCTCTGCAGTCAGTGTGATCAGCTAGAGCCTTAATCAGCAGAGTCAAGACTACAAGAAACAAACCTTGGCATCTGCCCAGTGAGGAAGTAACTTTCATTGTACAGTGATTGTTCTATGGACCTTTACTACTTTGAGTGCTTGCAGACTCAAGGCTGTTTAGACAAATGCATAGAGGCAAACACACTGCTCCCACTCTAAGACCACTCTAAGACCACTCTAAGACCACATGATTCCCCACTGTGTGCAGGCCCCTGGTTCTATAGTAGAGTCCCCATGTGCTTGCTGACTGGTCTTCTTCCTCTCTAGTCTGCTGGAGTTTAAAATAGAAAAAAAACTAGAGCGTAGCCACGCTTATGATTCAAAAAGAAAAATCTCCAAAAGCCACCACATTGAAGCTTTTGCTCTAAACAGCCTGTGCTTAGATGAGTGTAGCCGTATTAAGTTACTCAGACCAGCTGCATCCAGCTGATATACATGGCCCCTAGTCACCTTTCAAGACTCGTGATGCAAAGCTGTGCCAAACTAGAAAATTATTAACCAGCAGGTTCCACTAAGTAAACTAATTCCCAACATCCCCTTGCCTATGGTGAAAAGAAGCTTAAAACATGAGTGAATTTAAAATGTATTTCAGAACATGAGTCCATTATCTTAGTCTTACTGGTTTTCAAAAAAAATTTTTTTCTTCTACCACAAGAGCTAGTCTTAGTAACTTGGGTCCTGCTCTGTTGGCAAGTAAATTGAACTGGATTCAGTAATGGGGAAACTAGAGAGCTGGCTACAGGGTCTCAGGCATCCAGTGGGACCTTCTTAGAGATTTCCTTTCTACATCTATAAAATATGAGGCATGCTAACTGCCTACAGTTAGATAAAAACAAAAAGATAGACAGACACACTTGGCACAGACTAAGTAGTTACAAATGCTGGCTTTTTGCCTTTCTTTACAGAGTATATTCATTGACACACACATGCAGAAGAGACAGAACACAAATCTAGACCTAGAGCTTATGTGTTTCTTTATTTATACTCACCTCATCCCATGATAGACATATTTGCATGGAGGTAAACCATATTATTTGGTGTTCTTGGCTACCTCAGATCAAACTGAGCTTATACTAATCTCTTCTGGAAACTTCCAAACTTGCTTTAGCCATGAAATTAAAACTTAACTCATCTTTTGATTCTGTAATTCCTCCATGGCTGATATGTTTTCTACCACCTCTTTTCTAAAGGACGTTTTCTTTGTTGACTTGCAAGTCACAGTTGCCATGTAGCTGAAGTCCCTGTATCCTAGTATCTGTGTGGAGATATCCTACATGGCATGCAACTACCTTCACACTCAAAGTGTCACCTTAGACTCTTTCCCCCATATTACAGTACCATTTATTAACTGAACAGGTATTTATTGAGGATGATTGTAAAGGAGATAAATCCATAGTTTCTACCACCCTGGCATATGTATTTAGTGAGTGTTGATTGCAAACAATTCCTTCTTGATCACAGTGATACTAAAGTACCACTCACCGCTCCAACAGCTCTGTTTGCTTCCTCTACAACACAACAAACTGTGGACCACTAACAAGATGTCAGTAAATAGAAAAATAGAAATGGTAAACAGCTTAACACACTTAAAACAGACAACTAGAAATGAGGGAAGAAAGAGAGTGAAAGTCCTCAAATATTCAGTCATTTCTGACAGCCCACGGGTCAAGTAAAGGGGTCTCTAGAAAAGAAAATCTGTAAATATATATAACCACAAATGCATGAAATACAATTTCATAAAACAAATAGTGTCTATTAGGTCTAAATATACAGATTAACCACCATGATGACATTGGATGACTTTAGTACCCCATTCTCAAACTTAAGATTTTGTCCAGATGCAAACTAAACAGAGAAATATTGGAACTGAATGAAATCATAACACCAAAGGACAAAAACTTTCTTACAGCACATCTACCTGAACATTAAAATTGTACTTTTTCCTCAGCAGAACAAAGAACTCTCTCTATTATTGACCATATTTTAGAACAAAAAGCAACTTTCAACAAACACAGGAAAATTGAAATAACTTTCTGCATTCTATCTGAACACAATTAAAATATTACAGCTTTGAATGCCTAAATGAAAAAAAAACAAGAGATCAAAAAAAATGTAATGATACATCCAAAAGCCTTGAAAAACAAGAACAAACCAAACCCCAAATCAGTAGATGAAAAGACAAAATCAAAATGAGGACAGAAGTTAATGAAATGGAAGTAAACAAAAACAAAGAATCTATTAAATAAAAAATTACATCTTTGAAAATATAAACTTTGGCAAACCCTATGTTAATCTAACCAAAGGAAAAGGAACTCACATGTAGGAAGCCCTAAATGAAGGCCTAAGTGAATGTGTGTGTTGACAGATCCAAATTAATAAAATGAGAAATGAAAAGGGAGATATTATAACATATAAATGAAATTAAGAAAATTATTATAAAATTATTATTTAAAAGCCTCTTTTCCACTAAACTGAAATGTCTAAAAGAAACAGATGAATTTCTAGAAACACTTCACATATCAAGATTAAACCAATATAATTTAAACAGACCCATAACTTGGTGATGAGACTGAAGAAATAATAAAACATGTCCTAAATAAACAGTGCCAAGAATCAGATGGACTCATTGCAGAATTTTAGCTCTAGTTCAGAGAAGAACTAATTTGAATACTATGGAAACTACTCCACAAAATGAGCCAGGAGATGTAGAGGACAGCTATAAAATGCTGACCTCTGGATACGAGAGCTGGCACATGCATCAACCAACTCAGAGCAGATGTGATTACCTGTGTAAGACCTGTACAAGGACAGCAAATCAATTTTCCTGTAGCAGTAGTCCCTATGTCCCACTGTCTCTGAGGGGATATCCTATGCTACATGCAACTATTTCACACCTGAAGTAGCTTACAAGAATCGGTAAGTTCTGTATCAGGGGACTCATGCTTTCTGGCTTCTGTGGACACAGGAAAAGCACTCAAATGTAAAAGAAAATGACTCTAAAACCCTTTTTTCGAAAAACCAAATGAGATTTTTCTTGTTAGCTAAGATCATTTGAAATTTGCCTTTGTCTATTAAAGAACCACCAACACCACTCTTTTCAAATTGAGTAGTCTATTTTCTTAAATTTTTGGTTGTGAGCCTAGCCTTTAATGGCTGAGCCATCTCTTCAACCCAACAGTATATTTTCTATTCAGCATTTAATTCCATTTCATTTAAAGGAGTAAGTAAAGTCAAGGCTATAAGCTACCTTTAATTACTTACAGTTAGTGTGTAATGGCAAGCAGTAAGTGTCAGTAAAGCAGGAAGAATGTCTGTCTTGCTTTTCTGACGGTCACTTACCAAAGTCCTCCTTCAGACTAGTAAGTGCCCTGATCCAAGGTTAACTGGCAGCACAAGAATCGTCCCACACTGACCCTATCCTGGAGGTACAAGAATATCTTGGCATGAATGCTTTGACTTTCTTCAGGAAATCACTTACCAGTGTTGCCATATTGTATTATGATTAATAAGTTTACTTTTGATAGTATTGGCCACATGTAGGTTTGAAATAAGGATTGGACTTTTGTCCTCTGGAGGAAAGAGCAAGCAGTTTGAATTAATTCTCAATGTGGGAGGAAAGTGACTGAAGCATACTTCTTGACCTCTCTTCAGGGGAGGAAGAACAGTACGCTACCCTTATGTCTTTTGAGACTTAAGGAGACCATTGGTGATGGCTAGTAGCTTCTGGCAACATGTTCTAGTTAGAAAGCTAAAAAATGCTATGAACAGGTAATAGGAGGCTTTGAATTCTACAAAAAGATGGAAAGAAATATTGATACTGTTCTAGCAACTGGTTATGGCTACCATTCATTCATTCAATATTGGTTGCTCTCTAGGAACTGTATCAGACATGGAGGAGTGTGCATAGAAATAAGTGTTTAAAAAACTTACGATTTTGAAAACGTGGCACCTGTATATTTTGTTACTGCTCTCAAAATCTTAAGACAAATGGCTCAAAACTCCTGAGTTGTGTGTAATCCTAAACAAAGATAGCCCCTATCTCTTGTTTCTCTAAAAGACAAGTAGAGTTCTGGAGACAGGCAAGATAAAAGGATGTGGAATAGAGCACTGTGCTCCCTTTGTCCATTCAGATGTACTTACTGGCTGATTTATTCTGAAAACCTTCAGGAGTGGCACCCTCTACATAGCAGGGTCTTAGTTTGTTTTCTCTTCCCATTACAAAATAGCCTAGACTGGGTAATTTATTAAGAAATTAAAAATAGGGGACCTCATGCCTTCTGAGGCAGAGACATCGCACAGTGAAGAAGAGGAAACCTTTTGGTTCCTGCCTTTTATACTCTCACGCAATCTCATTTTCTTCTCAAGGACCCTTCTAAATAGCATTCACACATGAATGTGAGATGATTGTTTTTAGCACATGGTCTTTGTGGTAAACTGTAAATTTAGCAGTAAAGACCAGACATCCATCTTGGGTAGGATCATATGGTAAATATGTTATGATTTACTGATCATATGGTAACTTTGCAACTACACAATTCTCCATTTACTGTGAAAGCAGCCATATCACACTAAGTAGTTGGGCATGGCTGTAGTCAAATAAAATGTTATTTACGAATAGAGATAGTGAGCTGTAGTTTCCTCCATTCTGATATACAGAATAAAGAGGAAACTCTTGCATTAGAAACAACACCCCACCCCTTCAGTAAGCATTTTCTTACCCACACTTTGGAAACTCTGTGACTGTTCTCCCCTGCTGCATTGTCCTTCAGCCTTCATCTGAAGATATTGATATTTCTGTCTTTTCCCTATTTGTCTTTTCCTTTTTGGACAAAGATCATTTAACTGAGGCTATGTAGCTTAGCCTGGCCTTGAACTCTTATGCTTCCGCTTCCTAAAAGCTAGAAGTGTGTTCTACTACATTTTCACTATTTTTTTTCTTTTTATAAAAACTTCATTTAGTTGTAGTTTGGACATCGTGTAAATAATGCATTTA